GCCCCCCAGACTGGGAGAGTGGCTCCAACAGATCCCAGGAACAACATCTGAGATCTCTGTCCAGAAGAGTGCAGTCATAGGAACAGATAAGATACTGCATAGGACCCTCAAGCTCCCAGGCCTCTGGTAGAGGACCCGAGCTTGAAGGAAGGAAGGAAGGAAAGACCGCCCAGATTTGGAGGAAGCGGGGAATTTTTTTTATATATATATGTATAAACAATGAACATTTAAATATTTCTAAAAAGCAGTTTAATAATCTTAATAATAACATTACCAAATGTCACGGCAGCTTTGTAATGATCTGACAAATACATCAATATGTAACAATCCCATGAAAAGTTGTGGTATCACATTTTGTATAATTTGATATATGCATTTATGCTTTTCATAAGACATCATATACACTTTTGTAATATGTTTACAAAATGCAGTAACTACCCTACTATTGAAAAGAATGATTAAATCAAGAAATTATAAGCATTTTCACAACAGATATTCTGATCACACGCCTGGTCACAACAGGGAACTCACAGGGGAAACACATTAATGATTGTTGCATTCCATTAATGTGTCCCAGTCCAGTAAGCTGTGCCAGTAACCTATCATGTATATTACCAGGAGCCTGAAACTGACTGTTAAGGTTATTAATTAAACCTGTGCACTTCCTGCTATGACATGTCAGAACTCTGTGCCTCTTCATTCCCATTCAAGTGCTTTCTTATTATTCATTGTTTTAAAATAGACTGTGCTGACCTTTAAACAAGGTACTACACACTCTGGAAGGGTGCAATAGTAGTTCTGAGCTGCTGCAATCTCTCACTCACACACACACACACACACATACACATACAAACACACATGCGCGTGTGTGTGTGGTTTAATAGTGGAATACACTGCCAGTGGAACAAAGAGGATCAATAGCTAATATTTTCTCTGCTATGTCTGTATCTTATTATTCCATTAGCTACACATGAAGCTATGCATGGAAAATAACATTTCCCCCATTAGTTATACATAATTTTGAATGCCCCAGATGCCACAATCTCAGTTGTCTCTGTTTCATCATCTATTTCAGATTTTCAGTTTGTGATCTAAAACATACAGCTTTGCTTGTTTCTGTCTTCTTGGGGCTGGATCTGTTTAAAGCCATCAATTTAAAGCTATGTGCCTGTTTTTGTTATACTTAACACAATGTGTGCACTTTGAATCGGGCGTGGTGCAGCAGGAGCATATGCTTTTAAATGTCAAAGGGGTGGTGGTGAAAAAATACAGGTGCAAGGAAGTAGAACAATAACCATTTCATGTGTCTTAGCTTGCTTTTTTCCCCAGGCCCCGCAGGAGATGCTGAATCAGGTTCTACAAGCTCAGCTACCCTCACCCTGACCCAACCATAAACCCCCCCCCCGCCCCTTTACTCAGGGCCTAGTCATGATAGTAGGCACATTTAATCTGATATACGTACAGTCACTGCCTGAACTTGAGACCACAAGAGAAACAGCAAGATCCCCTACTCCTTATACATACTCCTTACTCTTTAATCCCTTCCCACATGCCCTGCTGCATCTTAATGAAATCTCACACTACCTCATGCATAGGCTTTCTCTCTCACTGTGCCTTCCATCGTAACAACCCACATCTGGTTTCCATAAGTACATACATTTCACAAAGAAGAGGAAGGGGGAGGGAAAAAGAGTGGGAGACTGATAGATGAGGGAGAAGGGTGTGTATATATGAAGGGAAATTTAAGGAGTGGTAAGACTGACTTTCAAGATATTGTCCTTCATCATCTCACTAAACTCTTCTCACATATGTTTTTATGACAAAGGCCAGTTTCCCTTCACCGAAGAATAAAAGGAAATCTTTAAGAAGTATACATGTCTGAGAGAGTGCAAGAGTGAGGAAACCATGGGTAAATAGGATACAGACAAGAAAAACTCCATCAGGGGAGGGTACTGAAACACAGACATCAAAAAGGCCACATCAGAGGTGGTCTTTGAAAGTGGAGCTTAGAGAGCCTCTCTGCTGAGTTCTTTACAGTGTTGGACACAAAGACATATGTGGTTACACTGAGGAGGTGAGGTGAAGAGGAGGTGCGGGGACTGCTTACAAAGCAAAACCATACAGTTTTACAGCCCACTCATCGCCACGACAGCGGCCTTGCTCAGCTGACTAGCTGGTCATGGAGGCCTTTACTACTGACCGGAGCTCTACAACAAACACTTGTGGTCCTCCAGCTGTCACCAGTGGTTCTGTAAAAGACCCACAACTGTAGAAAAATTGTCTGCCATCTCTACATCAGTAAACACAGTGCTGCTCACTGTGCCGCTTTAGATTTGCCAAGTCAGGTGTTCCACCAAGCTGGACAGGTCCAGGACTGCCTTTCCTGGTCATGAGCCAAACTGAGAAAACTCCTGGGTTAAAGCTGCAGCGGGTAATTTAGGACTTAAGATTTCACAATGCGGATTTAGTACTAGCACTGGCAATTAACTAAAATTCTTCTTAATTGTGTATGGAGGTGGGTGAGTTACAGGGTTTCTCTTTGATGGGTTCAGCTTTCCATGAGATGATTGCTCAGCTTTTGCTGCTTTGAGACTAGATTAGATGTTGTCACTTCCTGTTTCAGGTGGGGTTAGACAGTTGCTGAGACAGTTATTAATATAATTTTGGCATTATGACTATCAGAACAAGTTGGACTGGGTCTGCTGGTGATGACAACTGGCAGTTAAAATCATATAGTCAGACATATAGTGATTGTAATCTTTAAGCCTACAGATCCAGTCACTGCAGATCACCAGCAATTGGTGCACAATGCATGCCTGTTAGTTTTCTGTCCAACATGATCCCGACCCACTCTGATGTAACACCCACGTGAGCGAATGATATTCTCATGGGATCGAGCCAGATGCAGCTTTTGGAGCCAGGCTCTGTAGTTGCCCTCCGCCGACTCCAAGAGCTCAGGGCATGATAGGAGACATCTGGCTTTCACCTGATCTGAAATTTGATTGGTTTAGATGTTGGATCAACAATGTGCCGTTTTATTGAAACATATCATTTCTTGTATACTTGCAGCAATTGTGATTTTATTAATTGCTATTTCCACTATGAAAGTTTATTCTGTCAGCAGAATGTTGTGTGGTTGATGGTGCCTTTTATCAGTCAGAGAAGCTGAATACAGACAGCGTACAGTACATTACATGTAGTTCTCAGACTGCAGGCAAACTGTGACAGTTCTACTTTGCAATATGAACTGATTTAGTTCATTAAGTATTAATTAAGTGACAAAGCCTTTGGTAAGAGAGATGTAAAGATTCTTAAATGATCTGTACAGATCAAAAATCACTATGACTGTATTTATGCCGTGTCATATCAAATCAAGCCTAGTCAGCTCAAATATAGCAGCAAACTGATATGATGATTGCTTTATATGAGAAATGTTGCCCAAATACATTTTCAGGTACAATAATATGAAGATCAACACAGGTCAGCATGTTATCACTCTCCTTGTCACATAGAAGAATATCATTAAAACAACTATTTGGACCCCGAGGAGAAGCTGAAAAATTTGATTTGATGGCATTTTATTAAATCGAGATCAGATCTAACATGATGTGAACGTTTTTGTGACTTCCTGTAAAGACTGAAGGCTGGTGAAAAGTTCCTAAGCTGTCTGTACTGACTGTGGATTTTTGTCACCACCCACTGCTGTTGCTCTAATCAGCTTACCAGGTGAGACACATTTCATCTCGAATGAGCCTGTATTGTTCTGTTGAGTAGTGCATTTACTCGTTTAGGTTCCTTCCCTCCTGTCAAAGACACCAAAATCTTTGGAAGGTGGTGCAAGAATTCAGGAGTTTGTCCAGTCTTAAGGTTTTAGAGTCTTTAGGTTTTGTCCCAGGACTACCTGTTGTCTTGAATATTTTCTTGAGAGAACTCAATTCCCCCATATTGTAGGTTTATTGAAAGCATTGTTACCTTGCCTTCTCTTTTTCCTTTAGCACACTATCCTAAATCTCAACTAAAACAATCCCTTCTAACTTTCTATATGCCAAGGCTTCATCACTTTGCCGCAAGTTCAACTTATCTTCAAACATCTCTGACACAAATGCATATATTAGATGCTCTCATTCCTCCTAGGCTGCTCCACTTAGAAATTTGTTATTGGGCTGCCAGAGAGATGCCAGGGTGAAGGATTCATTGGTTCTTCCAGAGTCCAGACACAGTGAGTTGCATCAGGGTAGAAAAATGTTATACTCAGCGACCATGGGGCTGTAATTACATAGGAGCAATGCTGAGCTCTGCAAGATGACTCTCAAGACTGAAGAGACTGAACAAGGCATCAGAAGAGGGAAGAGGGCAAATACATGATTTACAAGAGACTCAGAGAAGAGTGGGTAACAGAGAGCTAGATGCTCAAGAGGGTAATTGCTCCCAACTAAGAGAAAAACCACACAGATAGATATTAAATGATGGGAAATGGCATTGGTCTTTTTCCTTACATGGCGCTAAGAGAAGGTGGTGTTTGTCAAAATACAGACTACAGGAGTTGTTGACTGAGTTGTGTGGGTACATCACATCTCTTATAAGATTGTTCCAACGTCCTCTGTGTAAAATGTGTAAAAATACAGTTACAAGTCATGCATTCATTATGTTACTTAAAGTACTAATGTATTAGCATCAAAACATACTTGAAGTACTAAAAGTACTCATGCAGAACGGCACATTTAACATTAGTGCACGTCATTATTGGATTTTAATTACTGATGCATTATTGTGTACATCACATGTCATGCTGCAGCCGCTGGTGGTGGAGGCTAGTTTTAACTGCTTATATGCATTTAATCTGAATTACTGCTGGGTAGCTAGTGAATTTCCCACCAGGGATCAATAAAGTCTTATACCGATACAGTATTTTTGTATTAATTTGGTTTTGAAAAATGACTGAATTCATAAATGCAGGATTAAAAGGTACAATATTTGACTCTAAAATGTAATGAAGCTGAAGTAGTAGAAAATGAAAGTACTTAAGTACAGATAGCTTTAATTGTACTTTCCACCACTGTTCTGAGTTAACATAACTGCACAGTCATTTTTCTTGTGTTAAATGAGGTGAGCCAGTGTGGTGTGACTGACACCTTGTGGACTCCAACTGTAACCACAGCTTTAAATGCAGAACGTGTACAATCATGGTGGAAAGTATTGGTACCCATGCATGTCTGTCAAATAATGCACATCTCACAGAAAAATGTTACAATCACAAATTCTTTGGTATTCTCATGTTTATTTCTTTTGTTTGCATTGGAATGACACAAAAGAGCAGAGAAAAGCCAAATCTGACACATTCCACACACAACTCCAAAAATGTACAGAATTATTATTGCATGAACAATCTCAAGGCTACAAGTCCATCTCCAGAGATCTGGCTGTTCCTATGTTCACTGTGCACAACATTGTCAAGAGGTTTACAGCTCATGGTGCTGTAGCTAATCTCCCTGGATGTGGACAAAAATAGACATACTGCAACAAAGGATTGTTCCAGTGGTGGATAAAGAACCTCGATCAACTTCCAAATAAATTCAAGCAGACCTACAGGCACAGGGTGCAACGGTGTCAGCTCACACTATCCATCATAATCTGAATGACAAGGGACACTATGGTAGGAGACCCAGGGAGCCCCACTGCTGACACAGAAATATAAAAATGCCAGATTGGAGTTTGATAAAAACCTACCTGAGGAAGCTACAATCCTTCTGGGAGAAAGTCCTGTGGAAAGATGAGACTCAACTAGAACTTTTTGGTCGAGCACATCATTCTGCTGTTTTCAGAAAATGAAATGAGGCCTTCAAAGAAGAGAACATGGTCCCTACAGTCAATCACGGTGGAGGTTCACTGATATTTTTGGGATGCTCTGCTGCTTCAGACACTGATGACTTGGCTTCAGATCTGAAGACTATCAATGAATTCTGGGGCACAATGTAGGGCCCAGTGTCAGAAGGCTGGGTCTCCATCAGAGGTCAGAGGTCATACAGCAGGACAATGACCCAAAGCAGACTTCAAAAAGCACCAGAAATGGTTTCAGACAGTGTGCTGCAGAGTTCTGAAGTAAGCAGTGAGTCCAGATCTAAATCCCATAGATCACCTATGGAGAGATCTCACAACAGTAGATGGGAGAAGAAACCCTTCAAATCTGAGAGACCTGGAGCAGCTGGCAACAGAGGAGTGGTCCACAGCTCCAGTAGAGAGGTTGAAGAAACTCAATGATGGCTACAGGAAGTGACTGATTTCAGCTATTTTGTCCAAAGGGTGTGATACCAAATATTAAGTTTGGGGTGTCAGTATTTTTGAACTTCTCTGTGAAATGTATCAGATTTGGCTTTTTTGTGTTGTTTCAATGCAAACAAAATAAATAAATGAGAATACAAAAGATTTTGTGATTGCAACACATTTCTGGGAGATGTGGTGCAATACCGGACAGAAATGTAGGGGTGTAAATACTTCTGGCCATGACCCTACTTGGCTTGAACTAAGCTGCTCCCAGTACCTGTATATGCAGAGTTTACATTTTGAATGGTGATCCCCAACAACAATCAAGAAATCACACTACACACCCCATCAGCAGGGAGAACAAAAAAGAAAGATAATTTCAATGTTTATTATTTGTACATTCACCACTGATAGGCATACTCAAAGAAGAAATTTAAAAATCAAAACAAACCCTTGTACTAAATGATAAAATAATGATAAAAAACAATATTAAAACCATTGGTGAGAAAACTCATAATGCAACCTCCCCCTCTTGGGCCTGTACTGACAGTGCATGGTTAAGAGATGAGGAGGAAAGGAGGGAGCAAGAAGAGAATTAATGATCAAGACATAATCGTAACTTGTGTCAGGTGAGTGACAGATTCTCTGCCACAGAGAACTGTCTCATCTCTTTAACTAAACAGAGGGCAAGAGAAACACTGCTTTGCCTTAGTAGTTATTTCACACCTGTTCAAAAATACCCCCGAGCTGCCTTATTTAAAGACTTGATTCGAATTCATCTTATATTTTCTGTACAAAATGCCAAACACACATATTCCAATATTTTCAGATTTACGTAAGCCCAGAGGGCCGAGTTTTCTCTTTAGGCAGGACTGGCAAGGGGAGCCTTGGACTACATGTAGCAACAAAAGGATTCAGCAGAGCTGTTAAACACTGAGGCAACGACAAATGACTGCAAATCATAATTGGCACCTACAATTTGGGGCAAATGGGGAACACTGGGGAAATAATTTAAATTACCCAGCATGCCATACTGCCATCAAGACAGAAACCAAAGAGAAGCAAATGTAAAGAAAAAGATAGCAAACCTTAATAGGAGCAAGACAAATAGCACTGTGGGAATCAACACTGCAAAACATCACAGTCCCCTTTAAGCATGACTGTGTGTGGGTGTAGATGTGCCTTTAAAAAAAAAAGTGACAATTTGAGAGATGATGACGACGACATCAGTTGGTCCTCTGTTGGGTCTTAGTTGTAACAAAGTACATGTAGTGAAAGGGTGGTTTTTTTAGGAAAGTTCCATCAGCTGATTTGCCATTAGCGTCGCCTTTCTCGTGGGTCGCTGCGGCTGCGTGAGCGTCTGCCCCCGCCTGCCCCACTGCCCCCTGGCCTACGATAACCATCCCTGCGTTTGTCATTCTCCCTCTCCCTGTCTCTACCTCGGTCTCTGTCCTTGTCCCGGTCTCTGTCCTTGTCCTTGTCCTTCTCACCCTCATTCCGGTCTCCTGGTGTGGCACCTCCAAGTTTCACCCTCTCCTTACGTTCCTCTTCTCTTTTTTTCTCCTCCTCCTCTTGCTCCATCCTTCGCTTCTCACGCTCCTTCCTCCGTTCGGCTCTGGCAGCTTCTCGTTGAACAAACTAAAAGAAGAAGAAGAAAAAAAAAAACTTTCTAGATGTATGTACTTAAATTATGCATCTAAAGCAGCAAGCAAACAGTATGAACTGGTTAGTGTTTCACCTGTTCATCTGTAAGTGGAAGCCAGTAGATGCAAGGAGCTGCTTTAGTTTTGCGGAACAGGTCATCAAGCAGCTTTGCAGGGGGATCCTCAGCAGTTTTCTCTGCCCAAGAGAAGAGACAATATTAAACAAAAATCTATTTTAACTCTTAATGTAAATGCAGTCTAATCCCATATGCATGTCTTACCCTTCTTATCAGTCTTTTTCTCCTTGCTCTTTCCCCTCTCTTTACGCCGTCTTTCCCTGGAGCGCGATCTTCTCGCACCTCCCTCCTTCTCTTCTCCAACTTTTCCAAACTCTCTAACCTTGTCTCGATCCCACTCACGTTCTGCTCGGGCCCTCTCCCGGCGCTCCATCTCGCGCTCACGCTCAGCCCACTGGTCTCGCTCAGGGAGGAGAGAGGGCAAGCCCGATGTCCGACCACGGCCAGAGCCAGGCCCCTGTTCCTCTGCTCCGGGTCTGTCAGCTGCACCCAAATTTTTGTGGAATTCAAGCTACAAAGCAGAGAAATGATCAGGCTACAGACATCGCAGCATTGTGGGTGTAACAGACAAAAACGGATAACAATAAGGTCTTACTTCATCCTGCTGACAGAAATCTACACTAAGGACTTTTGGGTTGCTCTGAGGCCATTTCACTCCATGAAGAGCTGCCCTCGTGGCGACTGCCTCCTCTGAGCTCGAGTACTAAACACAGAGAGAAGACAGTTGCTCCATGAGACACTGGCCAAAGGTTACAGTCCTCTATCAGAAAGAACACATGCTTGTAGTAACTCACAGTGACATAGCAGTGAGATTTGATTTTGTCAATCCAGAAGCCCTCCTCCACAAGTATACCAGTTCTGCTGAGCAGCTCCTTAAGTTGCCCCAAAGTGAATGGTCTCACCTAAACAAAATATTACAGGAGATGTAGTGTGATCAAAAGTACATAGCATATGCATAACATAATACATATCTAATTATATACTGTATATTAAATAATGAAGTATACATGCATTTCAGCAAAATTTAAAAACTGAAGATACATAACGAGGATGTGAAATCTAAAAAGCGATCCAGGAGAAACCAAATTTGAACTGCACAAGTTCAATTTAAGACTAATCCCGGCACCATCTAAAATTTTTATTAACAAATGCAACACTAGTATTGTTTGTGTAGCCAAAGCTTCAACAAAACAACTCATCTTAAGACCATGATCAGAGGCCAAATATGTATCATGAAAGCTCCATACTTAGCTAGTAATACGTCAAGTGACTTTAGATGTTTTCCCCATCAGTACTACACAGTAAGAACCAAGTACAAAAAGTGTTAACACACCAGGTTGCAGATGTGAACAATGTTGGACACTTTGCCACGAGGTGGTGAGGGCTGCCGGGCTGTACGAACAGGGTCATCAATTGTGATGCAAACACCCGTTTTCTGCTGACTGATGGAACGACGAATGAGGGTGTTGGTGGGGGTCACTAAGGCAAAGAAGGTAGAACAGTCAGTTAGTGTTGCTAATGTTATGACACCTGCACTTTCATTAGCATCAACCTTTGTAATAACACACAGAAAATATATATGTACACACACACACACACACACACACACACACACACATTCCATCATTCAGAACATTCTCTCATTTTATACATTAATAAAACTGGATTTTATTAAAATCAAGTCAATTACTACATTTCAGAAACTGACTTTATGGATCTAAATGACTGATACAAGCTACTTTGTGATTGTTTTCTAACCAGTGCTGCTTTCTCCATCATGGCTGGTATGTAATGGGGACTGGGTTTCCACAGCTCCAGGAAATGAGGTGTCCATCTTCTCTTCATGAGCCTTTGTTCTTTCTCTGTCTCCCTGAAGATCTTCCTCCTCCAGATCCTCAAGTCTGCTCCTCTTTGCCTCTTTCTGTCCATTCTCCTGGCTTTCTGAGTGCACCACCTGCAATAATAGAGGGCATCAACATAATCAGTGCTCAATAGAGAAATAACCCTCTGACTTTCCTGAACAGCATGTTACATTTCACAATAAAGAGTTCTTTAAAAAAAAAGAAGAAGCAAATTGTAGTCCAACCTGTGTGACAGTGCGACGGATCTGTAGATCCTGGTCAGAGCGTTCCTTCTCTTCATCCTCAGCCCCAGAGAGGACAGCTTCCTCTGGGTGAAGGTCCACTACTGCCTCCTGGCCAAGACAAGGCCGGATGTCTGGGATCAGAGACTGAGGGCAAAGAACACAAATATTGCACTACAGGAATGAGCTTGCCAAATTCAACAAACAAGACAGAAGCAATGCAAGCATCTCATAGTCTTCCTATGCTGCAAGTACCTTGAGTGAATCTGTAGTGATGCTGATTGAAGGTTTCTTGGCAGTGACAGCTGTGCTGGAGCCCCACCTCCTCTTGCGACCAGCTGCAGTCCCTGACTCTTGCTCACCCTCTGCACTGCCAGTGCCTGGGGACGATCTGCTGCCTGGTAAGACAAGAACAGAAAAATACTGAATCCTGAGGCACATGGGATACAGTACAAGCAAAGATGGAATATAAAAAAAATCCATAAAGATGATACAGTTTCTTCTGGGCCAATTTTTTTGAAGATGGTCATGAGCATATAATCCACATTAAGACATTTATGCAGTGTTTCTAAACCTTAGACTACATGATACATAATGAAAAGATTTTTATGAGACAAAAATGGCATATAACTAAGACTAATGATCAGTTACAGATAGTGGTAAAGAAGAGATCGAGTTGGCAGGGGGTACTCACTGCTAAGAGAGATCTTACGAGCCGAGAAGGCCTTCGGTATCTGTAAAGCAAGAAGATAAATACAACACAGGACACATGAAAGAGGGGAGACTGACACCATGGGTGGAGATAAATATTCAAGGTTAGGTTGGAAGAAAGGTTAAAACCATGACAAGAAGGGGGACACGTAGGGACTGTGAGTGAATGACAAAAAACAAATCAAATTCAAGTCAACTCATGGCACTGAACCACGCTGTTTTGTGTTAAAGTGTGTATATGTGATAATCAACAATTAATATTCTTGAATATAGCTTGCTTCTTAAGAGTAAACTGTAGCTGCAGTCTCTATCAAACAATATGATAAATATGGCAGTTTAATTCCCAGAGCTAAAATTATTTTAAAACCCTGTGCCTGAAGAGACACTAACCACAATTTGTTTCATAGAAGTAGGTCAAGAAAGATTACAAGATAGAGGTTCAGAGCAACTTGGATTAATCCACAGGTGCAACAATAAAACATTTCCCAAAAAATGGTTATTATCCCAAAGACTACAGGAACTAAGCAGTTTCTCTGACACCTGATCCTTACTTATCTGGATATGACCCAATCACGACTACATGTACTGTAACTAGGCAACAACAATCCAATCAAAGGTGGCCGAGATGTTTGGATGGAAATCGGAATGCTGGCTGGGTGGCAGGATGGGTTCAACAGTTCATTTCAGTAGGGGCCTGAAAATACTTTAGGCCAAAGCAGTCATCCTAAGGTGTTCTGGCATATTAGTCCCTTTAAAGATGTAGCAGCTCTAGTAGACCAGATGGTGCATGTTGTAAACATGTCGCAGAGCATACAAATCCAACATTTTGATTTTATTGCTCAGTTGTACTTAGAGGTCTAATTACATACTGAGAGTCAAAGTATCAAATATTTGGATGCTGTAGAAAGAGACCTAAATGAGAAGTCTTTCTTCTTCTTCTTCTTTCGACTGTTCCCGTTAGGGGTCACCACAATGAATCATCTGTTTCCAGCTAACTCTATCCTCGGCATCCTCTACTCTCGCCCCAATTAACTTCATGTCCTCTTTTAGCACATCCATATATCTCCTCTTTGGCCTTCCTCTTGACTTCTTGCTTGGCAGCTCCATCTCCAACATCCTTCTACCAATAGAGAAGTCTTTCTTCAGTTCAGTTAAAATCTCTGAAGCCCACTAAGTTCAGATAAAAGGTTAGGGGCCTGTGCTGGAGAAATCCAAATCTCATCAAGGTATTAACAAAAATCCAAAATGTGACAATTCACCAGCCACGTTAAATGCATGTCCACAATGCCTCACATGTATTTGCAAGTGCATTAGAAATGTCTCGAAGTGAGACCATCTGAAAACTGGTGAGCTGTTGTGAGGGTTTCACAGCAGCTTTGATGTGATGCGAGTGCATGTCCCTGCTGGTCTCTTCTCTGTGTAGAGCTTTGAGGCCCTTGGGCAGATTCATGGACTCGAGGATAAAAGAGGTGGGTCAAAGTGAATAGCCAACCTCGTCTTTGAATCTTCTGGTCCCGTATATAGATCTTGCCATACATATCCCTGAAAACGAGGCAGGTTTTTTTTTTTTTTTTTGCCATGGGTGTCTCTCTGCAGTGCAGCCTCGTGGGCCTATCTGTGGTCAACTCTGGATTCTTGGGGACAGTGGAACAGATGCAGCAGAACCAGTAATATTGGCAGAGGCTTGATATGGGCAACAAAATCCAAACAGTAATCCAAACACCTGTTAAACAAGCTGAACACAGCAACAAACTTACAGCAATGTGACATCTTCATTCTCCTCATGGTCAAAATGCCTGGTCCTGTTCACTCACTAAACCCATACGGTGCTCATTATGCTGACTGTAGCAAGTTTGTTGAGAACAATAAAAACCAAATGCTCACTTTAACCAGCCAAAAATCTAATGAGCTCTCTGTATGAAAATGAGTGAATTCTTGTCATGAGACCAGCAGCTCCTCTATAACAGTGCATGTGTCCACCAGAGAGGACAGTCACCAGTTTAAAGTAAGAACATATACCCTCATTAAACACTGAAATTGCCAACTGTGAATTTAAGCCCTCCCAAACTTGCCATTCTGGGCGGGGATTGCAAAATAATTTCATCCTAACAGAGGATGACAATCTACACTCTAGGATACAGACATTCAGTCAGTTCCATGTTATAACTGAACAGGAACAGTGGCAGTGCGGCGTTTATCACAAAGTTTTAACATTTGCACAGCCATCTGTTATATTTTATTTAATAACAATCAGAAGGCAAATCTCATGAAAATAAAAACTGTAAAGCTTTTTTTATGTTCGGTAATTTTTGTAGCAGAAGCCTTGCATTCTTATTAAGTACCTGTGTATTGGTACTTGGTATAGGCAAGTACTCAAATGCAAGTACTTGTATTTGGTCTGAAGAAAAAAAAAGGTATTGGTGCATCCCTAGTGCCAATCTCAGAAATGCAGCTATGAAGGCTCAAATGGGTCGATCCATTTAAGTCCTCAGCAACTGACAGCTTTGATGACCAAAACAATTCATGGTTCTTCAAATGCCTTACCTCCTCAATGGTCTCTGGAGGTTTCTCTGGCTCTGCCATGGCAAGTTCCTTCACCTGCCTGCACAGTGTGAAAAAAAACATCAACAAGAAAGGATGGAACAGAGAGGCAGACAGTTAGGATAAAGTCAAGAGAAAATCTTTTCTATTTATCTTGAAAACCAAATAAAGTAGTTAAAAATAAATGCATAAATTCACAGCATTACAACAGAATATGAAATTTTAATATGAATACAGAATATCAAAACTTAATGTCAAAATCTGAGTAATAGAAAATTGAGAATAGAATGTGTGCAGCCAAAATTATTATGAGATCGCAATTACATGAAGTATACATGATTTGTAGTTAACTGGAATAAACATGCAAAAGCACTACTATGCTCATTTAAATATCATTAAATATCATGAAACTACGTTTAACATCCTTAAACATAGACAAGATAAAAATGGAAACCAATTTAAAATCCAGATGCTGCAAAAATAACCGCTTTAAACGCCTCTCACAAGATTGAAAACTGTCATTTTGTAATTCGTTGCTATTAATATTCCAAAAGAAAATGAGCCGGGGAGAGGAGTCGAGGAATGCACCGCCATCGCAATCGTCCCAAGTTCGTCCAGCCTAAGCCGAGCGCTCAGCGACATTCACACAATACCACGCCGCCGTGTCATCCTCGTGCACGCACACGTGAACACGTCCACTCATTCCGATTAAAATGTGCTTGGGGCATCACAGCAAACACAGTGTTCTCCGTTCAAACGCAGCACACACACAAACCGCCGCCGCTGATGCTAAAACGAGTGCACCGCAGCGACCTACCTTCCTTCCCTTCTCTCACTCCTACCTCACTCTCACCAGAGACTACTCCTCCATGAACGCATTCATGCTCGGTCCGGCTGACAACTGAAACCTGCGACGGACAAGGCCTCGCCTTCTGTTTAGCTGAGCAGCTGTATGAAAACCACAGCCCGGCAATGGTAACTAAAGCCATCAGCAGAGCACAGCCATGTTACAACGAACAAAAAAATCATCTGTAAAAAGAAAGGACCCGCGTCTTCTCAGCCACACCGGCTTTAGGGCAGTCTAATCAATCGCCTGATGGAAAATTCAATAACCAGCATCTCATATGACACTGCTTTATCGTCACCATACCTTATTCAGAAACATAAAGATACGCAGGCTCTAATGGGATTATGTGATCTGATGGCAGTGAACTTATATTTGATATTTTACATTTGACAAACAATGACCACAAAAATATTTTAACTGTGTTACACTGTCACTTTCATGAAAACAATATAAACACGATGCGATCCAAAATAGTGAGCCCTTTTCCTGTCAGTTTATGAAATAATGTAAACACAGATATTGAGTGAGAGCTTCTTAAAAATAATGCATACTCCTATAGCATTGCTCAGAAAAGTCTTTACTGAGTCCAGTTTTATCACATTACACCTGCAACATCTGGGAGCAGCAGAAGTAGCTTTGAAATCTGGTGACTATTAATTGGAATTCATTGTGTTACATCCTGTTTTATTCTGGAGTTTCCTGTTTCCAGCTTACTTAGCTGATTGACAGGCACCTGTGCTGGCTTGTTGGCTGGGCTTTTGTTCATCTCTCTCTTCTTTCCCTCTCCACACTGCTACAGCAGCACCTTTAAGGGGCTTGGTAAATGTTTTTCATTCATTTATTCATCTTTTTAATAGCCGTCCCTGGTAGGCTAGTGGTTAAGGCACAGCGCTCTCGCCGCAGCGCCCCGGGTTCGAATCAGGGTTGCATCAGGAAGGGCATCCAGCGTAAAACACATGCCAAATGTCAACATGCGAGTCGTCAGTGTGATGATTCCCTAAATGGGAAAAAGCTGAAAGTGACTTTATCTTTCTATTCATCTTTTTAATAAAACATCTATGCATTAAGCTTCTACTCCAGTGTTGTGTTTGGTATTTGAGTTAGCCTTAACAATTTCTTGATTTTTCTGGGAGACTGGATAAGTCTGGTGTTTAGAGCCACTGTAAAGTTGTAAAATTAATACAACCAAAATAGAGTGGAAACTCTATATAGTCGCTGTGGAGTTTATACAGTGAATGTCAACTCTAGAATTGGGAATATATATCTCTACAACTGAGTATTTCTACCACTTATGGTGGGGATACACTTAGCAGCTGTTGAGCCAACTGTGAATGGGATCTGGATATGACTGATCAGGCCCAGCCTGTCCTAGTAGATAAAATCAGTAGCTTAATGTTGTTTTATCTGTTGGCAGATAAAATCGTGTACCATGTAAAGATTCTAATCTTAAGATCCAGGTTCTTCCAGTTGTTCACCTAAAGAGTTTTTTTTATATACATCTTTTACATTTGTTACTCACATCAGCGACTGATGATGTCACCAACGCGTCCCCTGAGAGAGACATATCGGTAAATAAAGGTAAAGATTCAAGAATGGGGATTTAAAAGGACTGTAGTGTGAAAGGTCCACTAGACAAATGAAGTGGAGGAAAAACTGTGCCAGGAGAATGAACGCCTCTACAAATTTAAGAGCAACAGGACTGATAAAATCCAGGTGAAACGTCTTCAACCTAGAACCTAGTCCAGTTGAGTTTTTTCGACTTTTTTTTTTTTTCCAGTGTGCCTTTTTGTTCTTTTTTTGCCATTTTTGGTTCAAACTGAACCACAAACTATGGATGTTGTTGTGTGTTGTCCACAGCGTTTAATCAATTGTAAGGTGTATGCTCTTTCCCAAATATGAAGGACTAAAAATGTGCACAAATTGGTGAAACCAGTCTTTTGTTAAATGTATTTAACAATCATGGCAGAGCAACAGCTTTGTAAAAAATGCCTATGAAGTCTTAGAAGTGTATGTCAAATAGAGCTCAACAATAACTAGACACCCAATTCACAGTTTGCAGGACACAGATTCATTCCTTTGTGTGCGATTCTGACACACACACACAAATAATGTAAAGGATGAGTTTCATAATACCAAGACCTGACCTTTGTTTGTCTTTGTTCTCCTCTTCATGGCTGTCTTTTCTCTTCCTGTGTGTCTCCTCTCTGGCTGGTAAATCAGTGAAATGTTTCTGAGAATTTAAAACAGCAGAAATTGAATAAGATGGTAATAACATACTGTATATCACAGCTGTTGAAGTAGTTGATGTATTCACCAAAAGGAAACTCATTGGCTGGTATAACACTATTATGAGATTTGTCTACAGTATAAACTGATGTTAGGCAACCATCTTCTTAGCAATTGAGATTTCTGGTTAAGATGTGGACACACACAGCTGTTACTGATGTTAAAAAATCTGATGGTGAGATCACTTATAAGCAACTGACCATGGTGTGACTCTCTCTATCAGCAGTTGTGTTGCTCTCCTCTCCAGAAATCTCTCCTCTGGAAGGCAAAGCTTTTGAGGTGTCCTTTAAACCCTCAGTTGGAGCCTCTACTGTCACTCTGTGCTGTTGCAAGGGATCTCTTTCAGGTTTCCCCTCCTAAAACACACAGACAACACAGCAATATTTTAGGCACATAAAAAAATATACAAAATATGCTTTGTTTTTACTACACTAATACAACCTTGAAATAAACAGAGCTCACTCAACATGTGTTGAAACCTCCTGCATGCGAGTTGAATGTTGCCCATATACTAATCTGAGCACAAATATACCATCATCTGACAGTTTTATACACGTGACAAGCACAATTTTGCATTTAGGCACTGAACAAAGAGCTATTGTAAACAACCCCTGAAGACACAGTCAGTCAACGCACCTTCAGACATGTCTTCACTGTAAAAGCCACCAAGTGTTGAGTATGTATTAGCAGTAGCTTAATGTTGCATTCAAATACATCAGGTAAGACACTATGGGGATATTTACTTGGGCTGCCCCCTCAAAGCTGGCTAGTCGAGTCATTAGTCAAGAGACCCATCAGACAACTGAGAGTCTTCTAGTTGAGTCTTTGTTTTTATCTTTCATTTTATTTTTCGTCAGCCAGTGCGCATTACAATAGAAGGCAGTCCCAGCCCATGTTAGCAAGTCATCCTCATTTAGGTGTGCCAAGCAGCAATTTGCTCAATACGTCCCCCTGTGGTCCGACAACACTATTTAGCCAACTGCTGCTGAGAATAAGGAGAAAAAGGCAATAAAATCCACTAAGACAATACACATAAAGGTGAGACTTGTACTTTATTGGAAGTGTTTTCAAACACTTGTATATCAGAGGACTAGTATGTTTTCTTATATTCTTTAGCAGTGCAAGCTGGCACACATTAAACATAACAGCATGTGCTGTGCTTAACTGAGGAGAGAAGTTCAAACTTGTAAACTAGGCTATAACCATGTCTCAAAAGGAAAAACTGCCCATAAGAGCACAGTTTCAACAGAAATACAAGTGTGCTGCTGTCTTACTATCCCAACAAATCCATATGGAAGCCCAGCAATATACAGTATGTCGTAAATTTAAATAAGTCACAATTTAAATCTTGCATCATAAACAAATGTCTTTACTGATTAAGTGCTCAGAAATATGTCCCTGTCACTCTTTTGCATTTGAATACCAACGTTTATGTGTTCAAAATGACCAGTGAAATTCATGCCAGTTGATTTTCTGACAGTCCAGGCTATATTAAAGGAAAAAAGAATGAACAGTTCACACTGGTAGTACAGTTGGGTAGCACCGTAATTTGCAGCTCATTTTCTGACACTAGCTGTGAAACTGCACATGTTCACATTCAACTAAGGACTAGCAGTGAGAAACAGAAGAAATGCAGTAGCGCAGGAATCTGTGCTGAGGTGCATCCAATATGTATTTTAAGGTGTTCCCCTTCAGAAATGCAAAAATTAGGAAGGAGAGGATGGAAATTTATACAAATACCCTCAGCACCTGATTTACCATGGCTGAGATTTAATTTTATGAGAAAGCAGGTGTTAAAATTAGCAAGACTGCTGTCAGCCGGCAGCTGCTAGTCACCTGAGACATAGTCAAAAGAACATGTTTGAGGAGAGAGAGAATGTTTGTAAATCGCATCACTCGCCAGAGGAGCATGTGAGGGACTTTGTCAACCATGCTTCAGTTACTGAATTAAATAAAAGATCATTTGACTAGCATGAGACTATGTGACTTAAGTTCTGAAATGTGTTTGTTGATTTCTTTATTAACCATATTAAAGTTTGGTCACTGTGAACTTAAGACATTCTTCTACACTTCCTCTCAGTCCACCCATGCCTTCAGGCAGCAGATCCAAAGCAGAGGTGTATTCAAATTAACATAGCTGGAGCTGTGCTCATTTATGTATGTATAGGTAAAATTGCCACTAAATAAAGAAAATTTAAAGACTGTGGTGCCGCAGTATTTTCTGCACCTGATGGTAACTTGCAACAGGTTTAATAAATATCCCCCTGTGCTCATTGGCAGGTGAAGAGGCCAGTGAAGGTTTTAAAACATTTTACTGTTATGAAAGGCTCTTATGATATGCAGGGGTGGCATAGTGCAGCTCCTGGACATAACAGGAAGTATCCACACCAAACACCGCCATTCCCAACGCAAAAATTGAATTGTAATGCCAATTGATCCTCTAAATTTGGGTGTTGTTGTTATACCACTTCAGTAACTTTAGATATTCCAAGGCGAAATAAATACTCCCGTAAAAATGTAAATGCTACCTTAAGATGTCCTGACGCTTACTGTGAAGCACCAGTAAACAGTAATAGGCATCCTCTCCTTGCCTAATAGTAGTCTTGTCTGAAAACTCCCACCTAAAACTGAAGTTGTGCCTGCATCGTGAGCTCTAATTACAACTGCTAATGACTGCATGTAGTCAGCATGCAGTATGTGTTTGACAATTTGTATAGATCTGATTTCACTTTGCATTAAAACAATTCTTTTATTTTAGCTTATCAGTGTAAAAAGTACTTTAGGTGATTCCATGAAAAGACAGTAGAACACTGGACAATATGTTAAGGACAGAGAGGTTCCTTTCAGACCACTTACCCTTCTGCCTCTGGAGGTGGTTTTCTCTTGAGAAGTTGTGGATGAACCACTGGACTGAGATGATGAAGACCCAGAGTCTGATTCTGAGGATGAGGAATCTTTAGATGATGATCTTTGTCTTGTTTGTTTATCCTCCTCCTTTGCATATCTTCTTGTCCACTGTGCAGCTTCCACTGGGATTGAAGGGTCCTTGCGCTCATTTACTTCTTTTGCTTTTTTGGCGGATCCCTTGACATCCTGTTCAGTGTTCACTGAATCAGACTGTTGTTTGTACTTCATTCTGAGGCTTGTGGCCTCTTCCTTTTTGGGACTCAGGCTCAGTGTAGTACTAACAATGCCTTCTTTCTCAGACTGGGTTCCAAAAGACTCCAGCGGCACCACATCGACCTCATGTTTAGTCTGCATCTGTGGCTCTTCCTGTTCAGTTGAGGGCTGGTGTTCCTCCTCGACACTAGTGGGGGAGGACACAGGTGAGGCCCGTGGCTGTGGGGTATCAGAGAAGGTACGGGGCCGCTTGATAACCGTGGAAGAGGAGAAAGTTTGGGACTGAACTGGGGAGTCCCTTAAGAACCGGAACTTCTTAAATGAGGACTGTGGTGACAGAGGTATTGGTGACATGGGTGTACCAGACTCTGCTGCTTGGGCTTCACTCCGGGACATCCGACCATGGACATCTTCCTGCTCACCTGCTTCTGATGATGACTTTCTAGCTGGTCCTGTGGAGAGGGGGGGAGGAGTGGGCATGGGGATGAGACCAATCTCACGGCCACGTTTGGATGGAGGGAGGTGACTCTCCCTCTCCTTTTCAGCCATCCTAGTTCTCTCTTTCTCCTGTTCCAGGGCCCTCTCCTGCTTCTCCTTTTCTTTCTCCTTCTCTAATCTTTCATGTTCAAGAGCTTTTCCCCTCTCTTCCTCCAAAACTCTCTCTTTCTCTTTCCTCTCCTCCTCCATGGCTCTCTCCCTTTCAAATTTCTCCTGCTCTAGAGCTTTTTCCTTCTCTAGCCTAGCTTTTCTCTCCTTTTCTCTTTCTTTCTCCATCTTATCTTGTTCCAGAGCTGCCTTTCTTTCTGCTTTCTTCTCTTCTTCCCTCTCCCATTCCAAGACCTTTTCCCTCTCTAGTTCCATTGATTTCTCCCTTTCAAGTCTCTCCTTTTCCTTCCTCTCAAGCTCCAGCTTCTCTTGCTCTAGGGCCCTCTCCTTCTCCAGCCTTTCTTGTTCTAGAACTTTTTCTCTTTCTATTCTCTCTTCCTCAATGGCCCTCTCTCTTTCTTGTTTCTCTTGCTCCAGGGCTTTCTCTCTCTCTTGTTCTAAGGCTTTCTCCCTCTCTAACCTTTCCCTTTCCAATGCCAAAGCCTTCTCTCTTTCAGTCCTCTCTTTCTCCTGCCTCTCAAGCTCCAAAGCTCGTTCCTTTTCTAATCTCTCTTGTTCAAGAGCCCTTTCTCTCTCCTTTTCCTTCTCCAAAACCTTGGCTCTTTCTAGCTCCATCATTCTCTCAATTTCTTCCCTCTCTCTCTCCTCTTTTTCTCTCTGTAGACGTTCTTGCTCCAGGACCCTCTGTCTTTCAAGCTCCTTCTGCCTCTCTAGCTCCAGGGCCCTCTCTTGTGCCAAGGCTTGCTCTTGCTCTTCCCTCTCTTTAGCCAAAGCTAGTGCCCTCTCCTGTCTTTCTTGCTCTAGAGCAAGTTCCCTCTCCCGCTGCAAAGCCTTTTCTCGTTCTTCTCTTTCTAAGGTGTGCTGCCGCTCAATTCTCTCTCTCTCCAAGGCTTTCTGTCTTTCCTCTCTCTCAAGTGCAAGGGCTCTTTCCCGCTCTGCCTCAATTTCTTGTTCTCGCTCAAGTGCCTTTTCTCTTTCTATCTCAAAATCCCTCTTTTCTGTGGCAGTGGCCTTGAGCACACTCACTGGTACTTGAATATGGCCCGAATGTGCTCCGGTGACACCCTGGTTGGTGCCTGGAATCATGGGAAATGGCGCATGGCCTGCAGTGTTGGTTGTGTGAGTGATGGCAGATACCAGACCCTCTGGAGGTCCTCTACCAGGAAACAATGTAGCTGAGGGTGGACTGCTGTCTTGTCTATCACCTTCCCCATCACCACCATGCCAAGTTGCTCCAGAGAAAGCACCTTCTGACTCCATTTTACGTGCCAGAAGGGTCAGTGGTCCAGGCTTGCGCTCAACATTTTGCTACTGCTGCCGCTGCTGGAAGAACCAGAGCTGGAGGTACTAGGGGAGTGCCTAGCTGGGGCTACACCTGGACTAGGGGGGCTCTGTTTAGGGGTGTCAGGCAAAGGGAATGACAACTCTGGAGGTGGGGAGGGGGGAGGTGTTGGCTGGCGGAGCTGAGGAGACAGAAGGGATGGGATGTGCTGCTGCTGAGGCTGACAGGATGCTCCAGACCTGTCTCTAGTCATGGGTGCTCTGGCTGGCTCCCTGAAGCTTCTCCGAGTACCGCTGTTCCAGTCATCATTGTCACCATCCTCCTCGCCATCCTCACTATCCTCATCGTCACTGTCAGCTGCAACTTTTCCGGATGCAGAATCCCTCTCTGGCTGGTGCTCCCCGCCTGGAATGCACATTGCCACTGACCCAGAAGCAGGAGGACTGGACATGTCAGCCTCCTGGTTCCTGTTACCCTCTTCATCATGTCCTGCACCAAAGAATCCCTCTCCACTAGAGGGGCCAGGTGGCCTGTGCTGCTCAGTCAGTGCTGCTGTGACATCCTGATGAGAACAGAAGGCACCAATTGCATTCCATGTAAATGATCTGTCACAATCCTTAGGAGCAAGTTCCTTTTGAATATAAAATATCTTTGAGCATAGAAGCTTTCCAGGCAAAAAGATTAGAAAATGTGACTGACTACCATAAGAGAAAAGGGATTTCTGACCTGGGCTTGAGAAGCACATGAGGTACTGTTGTTAACTTCTGAATGGTCTTCTTGCTCTGTTTACAAAGGAGAAATAAAGTCACAAAAATGTTTTCATAATGATTCTAGATGAGTACAGTAGTTTACTCATTTTCAGTGGAGGATTCTAATAACACTTACCATTTGTTTCATATGCTTCACGAGCCTCCTTCTCCAGGCGCTGCCTCAAAAGCTCTTGTTGTTTAGCCAGATACTGCTTGATAAAGCTGTTCTGGCTCATTTCCTCAGCCATCTAAATACAGAGAGATCATTAAAAGTAGGCTGCAAATTCTCAGGTTCACACATGTAACTTTTTTGCAAACATTCACAAGAACTGTGCTAATACACTGTTACATGTGAAGAGACTTGGCTTTGAAGTGAAAATAAAAGCTTCTTTGAGTCCAGGGTATATACAGCAATCCTTAAGTTAAATTTGATACCTTTTAATACCTTTTTTTACTACCTTCGGATTTTTTTAAAACCATCATGACACTGAGTTTCAAGTGTTAATCAGCGACCTTATTAAGGTTGAAGCAGATTTTGACATATATAACACTATACACAACAGAATAGATTTAGAGACTCACTGATGTTGACCACATATTGCACACATTTATTTCACTTCATGAATAAAAATAAAACAAACTACAAAAAATGTGCAATGAAGAGAACAGTTCCAGCACACTGGCTGGCATTCGCTGCTACAAACTGGCATCTGCTATATGAACTATGAACTGGTATTATTTGATTTTAACATAAACCTTTGCTATAGGCCTAAAATGAACTCATGAGCAAAAGAATTTTATGGCAAGTGTCTTAATTGCATGGCCTTTTCTTCAATAGTTTTGTCCATTTTATCCAGTTCCTCTTTTTTCTCTTTGTATCTCCTTCTGAGTGTGTTGGATTTAGTGATAAGCTGGGCCATTTTTGACCCAGCCTTCCCCTCTGCCACCTCGGCCAACTTGTTGGCATCATTTTCAAGGATGGCACAGACATCGTCCAGGACTCTGCGTTGCTGTCTGAGCGCCACTAGTTCTTCCTCTGCGGCCTTCCTCTTCAGTGTCTGAGCAGCACTCTCCCTCTTTTTGCGTTCTTGCTCAAGGTATAGCCTGTACTGGGACCTTGCTGAGGCC